CTGCTGTACTTCTCTATGTAATCAATTAAATTTAAATGAAGTTATCTGTTGCTTCATTACAACTTTCAGAATATAACCCTAATTAACTTTCATACAACAGTAAGTTGTCAGTCTGACAACATTTGTGTTTCAAGCTTAATTTTGATACAGCTCGTCACTAGGAACTGTCAATTTTTAAATAATCCGGAACTGTTTGCTTTCTTCTACATTATTTAATGTATTTGTTTGAAAAAAATGTCATTTTAACATCAAATAATGTAAAACACTCTTCATATAAAATGCATTGTATATTCATAATCAATGTACCATTGACTTGTTTTATCACTACATTATCGGCAATTATTACAATATTCTCATGTTTTCATTGACTGTTTAAATGATTTCATATGTGACGAAATTCATCTCCTTGCACAAATCGTAATGTTGTGTGTTTGTTAACCTTAAAATCAAAATAAATAGCTGATCGGAAACTGTTTTTTGATTATTTTAGATAACGTGATCACAGTTATATTTAGATTTTGGGAGAATATGTCAACTTATGGTAATAGAGTTCTAGAATACATAGTTACACCATCAACCTGATACTACATGTTTATGCATTGATTCAAGTGGTTGGTGAGGCACCAGCGATGTTAATTAATAAAATACTTTTCATTGAATAGTTTCTATGATTTTTTTGTCGTAAGATTATTGCTAAAATATATCACAATAGTGTTTATGTTGTTATTAACTAACCGTTATACTACTGATAGACTTAATGTTCCCACTTGTAGACTTTTAATTTTTGAGTTTTGTGCAAATTTTGGTTGCGTTTAGTTAAAATTGTCTGATAGTTGTCTGTCGAAGGTCAACAGGCTATCAACTAGTTAAAATTTTGTGAAATAGAGCAAATAATATTTCGCTGATTTTCTAGTGTTTAATTATAGGCTATTAACAATAGCCACATTAAAATATGATATTATTATTGTTAACTAACTATCAGTTAAAGGTTTGTGTACGTGTTATCGAGCCATACTTTAAATATGAACGTTAACAGTACTGAGGTGAATGCTGTAAGTAGTATATAACACTAATCGGAAGTGGAATACCTGCCAGCAGAAGATTCTATTGACGAGAAACAGAGAGCAATTGTAATAAAACTAAAATTAAAAGAACCATGAATCATGTTAAGGACGACTGAAGGAAGGTGTGGAAATAATGTATTTAATGTATAGTTTTTAATATTTTAGGAAAGCATTCTGTAATTTTGCACTAAGCAATAATTTGAATACTTTCATCAAGTCCTCGATTACTACAGTACTACTCGGTTTTCCAAAGTAAAATGGCTTGGTGTGGAATTCAGACCATTGAGTCACTACTCCACTCAAAATATGCTAGATATATTTCATTTTTATTAAGAGTTATGAAAATATTAATAAAATGATTATGTGGTCTATCGGTCAAGTACTCTGGCGCGAGACCGGTGGGTCCTGGGTTCGAATCTCGCGAGGCGGGATCGTGGATGCTCACTGCTGAGGAGTTCCACAATAGGACGAAACGGCCGTCCAGTGCTTCCAGGTTTTCTATGGTGGTCTAACTTCAATTGACTCCTGATTTTAAGTATATATATATGATTATATGTATATATGTATGTATATATATATATATATATATATATATATATATATATATATATATATGATTATGTCTTAATTACTGATATCATAGATAATAGTGATTAATTGGTGTTAAAGCGTTAGTTTTTCAATTATCTGTTGTTATATAATTAAGCCCTGTCCTATAAACCTTCTTTATATAATCTAACTGTTGTTCATGAATAATTCCTTCAGTCATATTTACATTGTACGATTTATTGTGTACATTGTTTCATACATACAGATTATACAGTTATATTATTTTTAATATATAATCAAATAAACTATTGACGTGTATTCTATTCAGTAGTAATTTTGTCATTTATTCACCTTTAAGGATAATATTTTAAAAGCTATTCCATCTAATACTTTTGGATCATTAAATAATAGTGTTGTAATCTTGTGTATATATTCAGGTCATGATTGTTTATGATGATGTAATCGACCGGAACAGTTTGTTGGGATTTGGACATGTTCATCTTTCTATTCTGTAACTAGATATTTAGTACAATGAATTTTTCGTCTTGTCTTTTATTCTATTCATTTAAATAAGAATAAAGTCAGTGTACCCTATCTTTGTACAAAATTTAAATAATTTTTTTTTCGGTCATTTATATTTCTTAAAAAACTGGTTTCTGGATAATAGTTAAAATCTATCTTATATTTCTATATATGTATATATATTTGCTTAGTCATTAAGGCATTAGACATTCAGCTGTTTGATAACAAGGTCTCATAATCATATCATATACTTCTATTGTGAAATGTTAATGTTTGGTCGTGTACTTGATAAATGTATCGCTTTATAAAATTTCATAATGTACCCAATAAACGTTAATGTGTACCGCAGCTGTACATATAAATGTTACGAACAATTTTAGTCAGATTTTATCCTATAAATAGATTAACATCATTACTATTAATCTCTATTTACTTTCTTAATGATAACGTTAAAAGTGATTTCATAGTTGAAATCATGAGTCAATTGAATCTAGACCACCATGGAAAACCTGGAAGCACTGAACGGCCGTTTCGTCCTATTATGGAACTCCTCAGCAGTGTGCATCCACGATCCCGCGGCTCAGTGGTCCATCGGTTAAGTGCTCCGGCGCGAGACTGGTAGGTCCTGGGTTCGAATTTCACTAGGCGGGATCGTGGATGCGCACTGCTGAGGAGTCCCACAATAAGAAGAAACGGCCGTCCAGTGCTTCCATGGTGATCTAGCTTCAATTGACTCATCATTTCAACTATGAAAGTACTAAATTCTCCACAAAAGTCATTCCACCATTCTTTTCTTTAATTCGTGGATTATGTAATCGACAGTAATATTGTTGATAGAAAACGAATTCTTATTATCACATTTGTAAATAAGTCTGCATTTGATAAAACGTAAACGATTTGATAAAAGGACAATGGTGCATTGTTATGAATATATATATACGTAGTTGACACTTGTCAGTGAGGTGTATGCAAATATTGATAAATTTAGAACTACATATGTGTTTTAATATAAATAAACTTTAAAATTAAGTGTTCCATATACATATACATGTAATGATTATTTTTAGTGTTGTTAATTTTAATAATTACATTGTTCAAATACTGCTAAGGCGGTTATATGAATAGTCAGATTTTATTGGAATGTCTTGGATCACTTTTGGAACGATAACCGCCCGCATACTTTCTACCAATTCGGTTCTCTGCATGACTTTTGCCCTCTGATTGGTTGTCATGATTTTTTAGTTCGCTAAACTGGTACAGGCTCGAAGGTGATATCCTGCTGCTATAGTAACAACTTTTGTACCGATTTTGTTTGCTTGTTCTACCACAAATATCAAGTTACCTGCAATTCCGTCTTCTTGTTCTAGCCGTCGGGCTTTGGTGTATTGAGCATAATTGACTGTTGTCAGTTCCGAAAAGAATCGATCGTATTAGTGAAGCTCAATCGTTTTCGTTCCTACACCCGTGATATCGTTGGCTTTACTGAACCCCAATAACAAGACATAAAAAATACTCTGTACTAAATATTATTACTTACTTACGCCCGTTACTTCCAATGCAGCATAGGCCGGCGACCAGCATTCTCCAACCCACTCTGTCGTGGGCCTACTAATAAAAATTGTTGCTCTGGTTGTTAGAAGGTGCATTAGCCTCATGACTTCCGAAAGAACTCGGGTTTCATCATGAGACGTCATAATTATTCCTTCTACTCCCAGGGCAGAGTTTAAATTGTTTGAATATTTTTTTCTGGTTAGCGTTTTTTAGCGAGTTGGTTTTCTACGGGATGGGGTCGCTAACCGCATGCCCAACCCTCCTCATTTACCAGGGCTTGGGACCGGCACTAGCCCCCGGAGGAGCAACAGGCGGAGTTACCAAATATTATTATGGTGTATTAATTTGTATATTGAATAGTTTTCAGGAAAAATGTTGGTTTTATACTTGATATTAAACTGAAAAATTTTGCTAGTTCCTTCAAAAGATAAACATGTTTTACACCTGATTGTTTTAATACATCTACATTCTAGTCATTGTTTTCTATGTGACTGGAAAGTATAAGGGATAAAATAAATTTCTAACATCTAAAATCTATCCTTCAGTCTTTCAATTATAACCAGTTACATATCTTTCCTTTCAGATATTTTTTCGTTTGTTATTGTTGCATCAAAACTGTTTTTATCTTTCTGGATTATTTTGACTGATCAATTAATTTGATTAAAATATTTTACAGTCACGCAATCAGTCAGTGGAATTCTGTTCATTTTTTTGATTGATTGATTTTATTCTTGTCGTTTCCGTGATATTCTTCACTAGCCCAATAATAGTTAGTATGATTACACTATCATCAATGGAGCTTTTCGCTAAAGCTAGATTAACTTTGGCATGGTAGTTGTTGAGATGGTTTCAAAAAGTACGACAAAGTCTTCAAAGGTTGCAAAGGAATCCAAGAGATCCCATCCAATCAATGTAGCATGCTACGATTGGACAATTTCATAACTTGTCTTCTTGCAGACTGACTTAATTATAATGATGGTATAGTCAATGCTAATGACTATGAATACTCGTTTTTCTGTCTATTTTTGATTCTTACCCAATAATCATTTCTCATGTATTCTTACATCTTTTGGTTTGCAACTTTGGGGTTCTACATGTCCGAGTGCCCATGGTTGTGTGCCGTATTCTACCGTAGCCCAGTAGAGGATACATCAGTAGTTGTTGTTATATACGGTCTGGATAAGTAATGTGAATTACTCTACTGAATCCACTCAATTTTAAGGTAAATTAGTCCAGAGTGTTACGTTTATTTTCTTACGTGAACTACATTTGTATCATCTGTTGTCTTTTTTTGGCTCTGTTATGTGACTGTAGGCTTATTCTACTGTTGGAACACCGGATTACATTGCACCTGAAGTATTTCAACATCATGGTTATACAAATTCTTGTGATTGGTGGTCACTTGGAGTTATTATGTATGAAATGCTTATAGGTAATTAAATAGTTTTGATTTGTGCTTCAATTATTGTTGTGTACATTGATAGGTATTATTTTTATTCACGAAGTTTCAATTTCTAGGGTGAACTAACGAATTCAAGTTAATGTCATAAGACTTAAAATATTTCAAATTCAATGTATCTCGGAGTCATGATTGGTCATACTATTGAAGATCTATCATACTGAACAGTCTCCGTTAACCTCTTACTAATTACTTACTTACACATGTTACTGCTCGTGGAGGAGCATAGGCTTCCGACCAGTATTCCCATCAAACTCTGTCCTTGACAATCCTTTCCACTTGTTACCAGTTGCTATTCATTCTTTTGATGTCGGTCTCCGATTTCCAACGCAATTTATTCTTTGGTCTTTTCCCTTTAGTATAATAACCGAATACTTAGAGAACTTGGAAAAACCGACAATAGCATATTAATTATGGATAGTTTTGTTATATCTTGTGGTCGAATGGATGCCTAGTTAATGTATGATTTGATAACACCGCTAATCAGGAGCAGCGAATTATCGGTTGGAACAGTGACACACGAAACCCGTACAAGCAGTCTAGAGTGTTAATCGATCCTGCGATCTGCCTAGCCCAGCCAGTTAAGTCCAGAACACCAATAACAACCTCTGTGACATGAATCATTATTCACAAACATACTGAGTTTATATACCAACCAAACAGACCACATCGTACCATAAAATAGAAAATAACATTTGTACAATATTTAGCCGAATGTGGCTGTGAATAGTTATCAATAAACTGATGATAACTCAAGAATCGTATAATAATAGTTCAAAGGTCAAAATAAAGTTAGTGATAAGAGGAACACGAATATGATTAAGTTAATTACCTAACAATTATACAATAGGAAATATATTATATTGGTCCACAAATAGTCCTCAAAAGTTACCATTCACAATTCTCTTCGGGATACAAACAAGTTTGTTCTGTCAATTATATATTTATTTTTTTAAATAGTCAAAATTCTATGGATTCCGTTTTTATGGTACGATGTATAAGAGTATAGTTAACATTAAAATTAAAAAAACTTGTATATATTTATTTAAATTTAATCCTAATTAAATTTGATGTTACCTTGACAATAATTAACTTTAACAGCATGATTTTCAACTTGAAATAAAAAGGCACTAACAACAACAACTTTAATTAGACATAGAGACAGTGTGTTTATGTGCGTGTGTTTGTGTTTATCTTAACTAACTAGAACAAAGAGTTTTATCACTATGCCTTGCTTGATTTGTAAATAACGTCGACTTCTCGTTTTATTCATTCCATTTGATGATGTGTGAAAACTAATTTTCCTTTTATTGATTCCTATTACCCATAGACCTAGTGTTTATTAAATGATAGCTGTCTTGAGTTTCGTTTGTTATTCATCGAAACAATGTAGTCATGACCTCATCCCCCTACATAAAGTCATAACTAAATATTAATGTTCACAAAATCGCTTAATAATCTATGGGCTTATTAATTGCTAGCTTTAAAATGGACTTTTTAAAGTGCAAAACAATAACCTATAGAGATATGCGATAGTTGTTAATTTTTCATAAATCGTATTGAAGAGATGATCATGTGTATTTGTTTTTTTATTATTCGGCTGTAGTCGAAAATCCTGAACATCCAATTCCTATGTAAACTATATTCATAGTTGATCATAGTCATTAGATTAAATGATATTACAAAATGCTTTACAAGCTTGAATTGATAACAAGATAATTCTGTGATAAGAGATAATTATTCAGATACTACTGCCCACTGAATAACTATCTTACCATATACCATCATATATGAATCCCCTTTATTAAAGACTCATTTTATTTTGAAGGGTATTCACTTTCTTGAAATAATTCATTTATACTACTTGATAATGCTTGCGTTAATTCACAAGTATAATATATAGATGATGTGAGACAATAATAATAATAATACTTTGAAATGCAAACAACTGTTTCATTTGTGATAGATTAGTTCAGAATTTTGTTATTCTCTCTTCACTTAACTACTTGCTATTTGTCAGTATAAGTTGTGGTGATTGTTGAGTTTTAATTGAGATCAATGAGCTGATCAGACCACCATCGAAAACCTGAAAGCACTGGATCTCAATTAAAACTGAACGATCTCCACAACCCTATACTAATTATTATTATGTACTCACTAATGACTAGCTTCCAGAGATAATTCTCGGAGTTCTAGTGAGAAGTTGTGACCTATGGAGCTCAACTGTTTCAGGTATGAGGCAATTACTCATCAAAAATAATGGAGGATGGTCGCGCAATATCATAGATTGGTTGAAATTGGACATTAACACCGTTGAACGCTCGCTCAGTGTTCTATTGATTTATTTATTTGGACATATGAACATTGGTATAAGGGGGCACCAAATACATATGTGCCACACAATAACAATGATGCCAGTAGCATTTGTCATTGGTTTGTGTGGGGGCTTGGACACTGCCCAAGTGCCCAGACCAAAGCAGGTGGTTTTCCTAAGGGACCACACACGGAACCCTTAACCTAAATGTCTTATTCACAAGGCAGTGGAGTAACGTTAGGAGATGCAGTCCCATGGTAGTCGGTAACCAACAATAGGTTCTTACTCCATTTTCTCCCTCAGGATACTTGAGCTCATGTGCACCACTGATTTAGAATCAAGGTTTTCCAACTCCCCTAAGTGGATCTTCCATATCCACCAACCTGGTTAAAGCATTGGATATTTGCTTTTCGTCCTCTAAATTTCGTAAACAAACAGTAATGCCACGAGAAGGCCGTGAGTACGACTTACCTATTGGTGGATGTATACACTTGGGCATGTGAATACATTTCGATAGAAAGAGTGGACTTTACACACCATCGACAGTACCAAGATTTGGGGGTTCAGTGGTCTAGACGTTAAGCGTTCTCGCGCCTCATCGAAGATCTTGAACTCGAATCTCGTGCGTGTGGTTGTGGATGCTCATTGCTAAGGAGTCCCATACTAGGATGACTTGGCCATCCAGTGCTTCCAGGTTCTCAACGGTGGTCTAGCTTAGTTCAGTTCATGATCTCAATTTTTATTTTGTTCACTTTAAAATTATCTATTCACTCACCTGTCATTTTGACTAAACGGATACTGACAATTTATGTAAATTCCTCAAACCTTCTGTGATTATTATATTACCCGTTGTATAGATTCTAGAAAACCAGATGAAATGAAGTATGATTTTGTTCCCTGGGTTTCATGAACAATACGATTGATTGATTACCTATTACCGTTTTTATTCTTTAGAAAAACAGTTTGTTTTTGTAAATTTAAAATACTTTAATAACATATTTATGCCGAGATAGTTTTAACAGAGACAATCAACAACAATTAAGTCATTTTATTCTTTTTCTGTAAGATTTTCATATTATCATTCACAGGTTACCCACCGTTTTGCTCAGCTACACCACAAGAAACGTATAAAAAAATTATGAATTGGAAAGAGGCATTATTTTTTCCACCTGAAATGCCTATTAGTAATCATTCAAGAAACTTAATACAATCTTTATGTTGTGGAGCAGAAACACGTTTATCGAGTATTGAAGATATACGAAAACAACCATTTTTCCATGCAGTTGACTGGGAGCATATACGTGAACGACCTGCAGCGATTCCAGTGAATATACGTTCAATTGATGATACTAGTAACTTCGACGAATTCCCCAATGCTGATTTAAGTTGGCGTAAGTTGAGTGTGTATGTTTCTTGTTTTGTTGAATCCTTACCACCTACGTAAAGAGCCATTTCAAATTTCAATGCTATTTAATACTGTTTTGCTTTAATGAAAAAAATATTACAACCACTTGAGATAGCCAACAGATCTCATATAATTTAGAAATTTATATAGTAGAAACATGGCTGACTGGTTGTTCAATCATCTAATTGATCATAATTAAAATTTGGAACAAGTAATCTCATTGAATATCAAATGTTGTACACATGCTCTAACTGGAGTGATCGCCTTGTTCTTTGAATTAGTTTGATTTCTCTTTAGAAATGTATATATGTATTTTGACTTGATTCGACAATACACCAAAAGTCGAAATCGCATAACGTATGATAACGTCTTCATAAAATCACTAAAAACATGTAATTCCCTAGCAAAATTAAGATAAATAATTCATTTCATAGTATAGGACGTTTGTGGAAATTGTTGAATTTTAAAGTTCATGTCATGGATTGACTTTAGTTAAACAGCTATTAATAGACAACGATATCGGAATTTGGTTACTCAATATCCCGATTTGGTTGGAGTTAGTAATGAGTACGCATTGTTCTAAAGGTAAAACCCTTGTGTGTAACCTGAAGATCCTGAGTTGAGTGTTTGGTGCAGTCGTTAATGATCACTGCCATGGATTTCCATAATAGGCTCAAACATCTGTTCAACGCTTCTTGGTCTCGAATAATTTCCTTAATAAGATTAATCCATCATATAAATTATAAGTATCAATGTACGTGTGAACATTGAAAGGATTTACAAAAATAATTTAATATTCTGTTTCTGAATATGATTGATAATGTCTCATTAATTAAAATATAAATATAGAAAATATTCATTCATTTCTATATTTCTTCTAATTTCAATTAATTTCGTCTATATATATAAGTTAAGCATGAAAGGATTTAACGCTTATAGTTTCGTATTAGTATATTGTTATCGCAACGGAAATACTTTTTTACTTAGTTACTTATTCTTGTTACCCCTCATGGAGGAGCCTAGACCACCCACCATCGTTCTTCATCTAACTCTGTCCTAAGCAATCATTTCCAGTTGTTATTCATTCTTTTGAAGTTTGCTCCCGATTACTGGCTTGATGTATTCCTTGGTCTTCCTCTTTTTCTTTTCCCTTCATGATTCCAAGTTAGTGCTTGCCTTGTGATGCAGTTTGATGATTCCCTCAATGTATGTCCTATCCACTGATGTGGTCTTGAGAAACTCCGACCACTTAATAGAGTCTAAATAAGGCTACTATGAGGGATTAAGATGATGAGTTAGAGTTTCAAAAGAAATAGAAGTTTCCACCACGAACTGTTTGAGCTATAATATCACAATGCTCTTTAGTCATATTAATGAATAAATTTCATCGATTATTCCAAAAGTATCTATCTTAAATCTGATTATATCACCTATAAACTATGGTCTGTCGTTAAATAATGTTAAATGCGCATAGTTTACTGTAAGTTGTACAATAAGCACAAAATCAATAACACTTAAAATCTATGCACATAACATAAAGAAAACAACTAAAATTATGGCTGTACGGATTTAATGCATCATGTGGCTCAAATTTCTACCTTTTCTGTCCACAAAAACCACATGATCAGCTTAAGCGTGTGTATATGTTTTTGATGTGTTTGTAATAGTGTTGTTGTTCCTAGAACGTAACAAAATGTGTGCAAAGTGCACTCCAAATAAAGAAATTGTCAATGTGTGTTAGATTGTTTATTGCATTGTAACAGAACTTGCTTTTCTGTAAGTGTTTACACTTCATAACAAGTTAACTTTGTCATTCTGTACAAAATATTATGATCTAACGTTACATTTAAATGTATTTAACTTGTAGTAAAGATTATAATCGAGTATTGTTTACGCTAATTATATTATTGGTTCAAATAACTGTCCTCCTATCAAATTAGATTAAAATTTAAAATTATTACTCTTACAAAAAATGATTATATTTTTCTCTTTCCTTAATGTTAGATGTTAATCCTGGTTGATTTATTTTCTATGCATTAGTTTATAATTCACCTATGAGTGTGGTTTATCAACAGTCTCGATGTATCAGTATGGGTTTGTGGAGATTGTTAAGTGTTTGGTTGAGATCAGGAATCGATTGATGTTAGACCGCCATTGAAAGCCTGGAAGAACTGGACAGTCGTTTCGTCCTAGTACGGGACTCCTCAACAGTGCGCATCCATGATCCCGCAATATCGTGGATTAGTTGAAGTTAGACACTAACACCGTTGGATACCGGCTCACCGTTCTAGAGACTAAGCATTGGCGCGCGAAACCGAAGGTCCTGGATTCGAAGCCCGAGAGCGGGATAGTGGTTGTGCACTGTTGAGGAGCCCCACACTAAGACGAAACGACTGTCCAATGCTTCCAGGTTTTCAATGGTGGTCTAACACCAATCGATTCATGATCTCAATCGAAAAATTTCAATGTATTCTGTTTCAATGAATGATGTTGTTTTTCCTAAAATATATACATATAAAACTGTTCAAATAACAATGTATGACTCATTTAAATATCATGTTTAACACAAGACACTTTACTAGAAAAACACATCTATTTCTATATATATATGACTAATATTGTCTAGTATCCTATGATCGATCTTATTAAGATAGTGATTATCCTCTTTTGTGTATATATTTAAGAGAAGGTAACTCCTAGTTTTATTATTATTATTATTATTATTATTATTATTATTATTATTATTATTATTATTATGCCCAACATATTTGTTAGTCACTGAAACTCATGTTTTTTCTTCGTTACAATTACAATGTTAAATGTGTTCAAAATATAATTTCTATGGTGGTGAATTTGAACCAATTTTGTTAATTAGTCCTAAGGGTTTTATACAATTTACTAGTTATTCAATACATCGGTAGAATTAATTAAAAATCTATTGGGATTACGCGATGTCATGGATTGATTGAAGTTAAATATTAACATGATCGAATGACGGTTCAGTAATTTAGAGGTTAAAGGTACTTGCACGAGACCAAACTTTATGGGTTCGAGTCTCTCATACGGAACCGTGGATAAACGCTGGTGAGGAGTGGCGTACTAGGACGAGACGACCGTCTATTGCTTTCAGGTTTTCAATGGTTATCTAGCTTAGATGGACCCTTGGTTTTAACTATGAAAATACTACAGTCTCCACAAATCCCCATACTATTAGTTAATAGTTAATGAAATGCAAATTTGCGCAATCTTTCTAAAGAATTTATTCACATTTGTATAATTTTGGAATTTATATTCTAATTCTACAATGAAAATATTTTCAGCATAAAAATGTATACTGATATGATTGTAGATTAGTTTTTCCCTCACTAGGTATACTCCATAATTTATCGTGTTTATTCTCAATGTTTTAGTCTTGTTCAGCATCATTATCATCACGGTTACGTGCACTTTACACCTTATTAACTTCATCTCATCGTACAGTCATTTGATCAGATTTAAATTTGTTCCATTCACTACCTTTATATAAGTAATGATGCAAATACTTCTATCTTCTACGTCTAGTGTATATACTGTTCGTGTTCATGAATAGATCTTTTTGATTTATTAAATTTAATTAATAATGTCCAATAAGTTGATATCATCATTAATTCATTTTTGTATTTGTTGTTTGAATCATTTCATTGATGTTCTGGACTGCATATGTTCATTCTGTATAGACTGTTTCGATATTGCCTTAAGTCACAAAGTTGTGTAGTGGCTAGTATTGAAATCCAGGACACACATTTTGTTCTATTCGGGACTCATCAGATGGATGTACCTACATCACATCGTTGATGTTCTCACTGGGACTCAAACCCCAGTACTTTTCCAAACACCACGTTATCCACCTAACTACTGAGTCCAGTCACCCATTGGCTTATGCAGTACGATGAAGTTTTAATTGATTTTAACATTGGTTGTTTGAATCTTTGCATCGATGTTTAGGACTGCAATTGATCAGTCTTTTATTGGCATATGTGAACGCTGTACGTATTGTCTTGACATTACCTTGATTCTCAAGCATTATAAGCAGATCTCTGCTTACTATTATTATTATTACCGTTATTATATTGAAATATTTTCTATTGAAGTTAATAATCTCTTTTCTTTCTCTTTTTTCAATTCCTTGATTTATTTTCTAAATGTATTTAGCTAATGTTACAGATCCTATGAAAAGTTATCAGAAAAACTTAGCTTTTATAAATTATACTTATAAAGCATTTGATGGTTGGACAAATAATGATCGAATATTAGATCGTCAATTATATCAACAACAAAAATCTCAACGTCATCAAACTGCCTTATCATCTAGAAGTAGTATGGTGTCCGGTTTAACTGGAATAAAGAATAACTCTTCAACATAATGAGTTAATTCTTCATTGATTACATATTGTATCACCTATTTCCACCTCCGTTCCCCTCGTCACGTATATATATGCATATAACTAGTGTTTCGTATCTTTACATCTTTGTACCTAATCACTCATATTTCTCACAGTTTTGTTTCTTTTCTTTTGGTTATTTTTGTGAAAGATCTTTTCGTATAATTAAAATTATCAATGTCGTTTTAAAAGGGTTTGGTTATTCTGTATACCACTTTAAAAAATATACCTTTTGTCTTTCTATGAACTCCTTATTATATAATCATCATTCTGTTGTATTGTGTTTCATAACATTTTCGTTGTCCAATCTTTATGGCTCCCTTTTATTTGTTTCTTTTGTCTCCTTTCTTTTTCTGCTTACCTTTTTTCCTCTGTTTACACGAATGTTTGTATTTCTTCTCTCTTTTCTGAATTGAATTATTCTTTAAAATGGAAGAAATATTGTTTTTGAATATGTACAGTGTAATTGGACTGTTAAGATGAAAGTTCTTGGTTGTTGATTGTTGTTCCATTCAATTCTGTTTGTTGTTCTCCTGTATTCTAAATTATCCTTTGGAGTACTAATTATCGTTAACTTGCAACCATTTTAATGTATACTACATTCCCGTGTTTCTTCTAAATTGCATTCCTTGGACAATAACATATAACGTTCCATATTTGTTCAAGTTATAGTTTTTATTCTGCCATTATAAATGTGCCTTGTTTCATATTTTTCTTTCTTCTTTTTTAGGTTGTTACTCTCGTGTTACTGCTTTCTCTATATTCTTTACTTAGTTCTTGTAGAATTTTTTCTCTGTTCCTATCTAATCTGTTTTGTTCTGCCCAATTCTAATGTTTCGTCTACTGTTTAGCTTTTTTTTGCATTAATGAACTGCATTAAGGTACTGTAATTTTAATTCAGACTTAGTTATTTCAATACTAAGTTGACTAATGTCTGTTTGTATGTTTATCTGGTGTTCAGTCCATCTATTGTCTGTAATTAACTATTAGTTTACTATTTCTATAAAGAGATTATTATTATTCATTTAAACCAAAAGGTATATATTTTTGTCTACTACTACTACTACTACTACTACAAATAATAGTACTTCAACAACTTATACCATTGAAGTGAACAAACTAAATTTTCTTTGCACTTTTTGGTAGTTCCAATGTTTTCTTAGAGTTAATAATCACACCACTCATACGAGACAACTTTCTCTCTCTCTAAACTTCTAGTTCATATTCTGCTTCTTTTTCAAGTTCTCCATAGACCGCTAATTACCACAACATCGAAAATCATTGGTGTAAACGTGTCAAGTCAATTTTTACTATATTATTAATATATTCTATAAATAATGCTCAGAAACAGAGATTTTCGTTCTGTTTATACAGAAAAAAAAACATTTGAAATTTGCGCTCATCGATCGTCTTTATTGTTACGATTGAAATATACAACCGGTTGTTGATGATGATCTATCTATTCTAAAAGAACAAAAGCTTGAATGGTAAATCCATAGAAAAAATCATTGAAATCATTTTGACTAATGTCTAATAATCGATTGATAATTATTCAACCATATCTCTCACAGTAATGGGTATATCTGTCTAGTGGATATTTCAATCATTCACACACAAAATGGATGGTGGTTGTGTGGTAACTTTCTTTGTTGATTACGACGAATCTTGGAACAAACTACTACGTTGTCTTGGATAGAGTTTCTTTTTTAATCCTCTCTTTGTTTATTCACAGAAAAAAGTGATACTGTTTTGTTTCTCTAACCTATCTTTTCGGTCTTTTCTGTCAATTTACTTGGAATCTGTGTTATTATTGATTCTCATTATTATTATTCCTCCTTAATATAGACACTACTTATTTATCATCATTTTTAGTGTTCTGTGTACAACAGATGATGAATAAAAGAATTGTAATTCTATTGTAATAATGATGATATTTTTTACATTCATTATTTTTCATATCAGGATGAAATTTAACAGAAGAACATATTTTATTGTCATCTCTGTTTAGTGAATCTAAATCATGATATATTATGATTCAATGTACGAGCATGACTTTTTCCGTACTAAGACTAATAATCAATAAGTTGCTCTTAGCAAAAATGACTACTGTCAATCAGTTTCTTTTTTTTTAATTGGTGTAAGAAATCAAAGCGAACGAAATTGATTGGAAAAAAAAGAGTGAACAGAGAAAAAATAATCTTTCATAAAATCATAATAAATTCATCGGTTTTCTCAGTAGCTTGCATCACAGAATCAATTATGCAGAATAACTAATCAAAACGATAAACTAATATGGAAATTATCATTAATTCACAAATAGAATCCTGTGAGTAACTTCTAGTTATCGTCGGGATTCTAGTTAAAGTTATGTAGTGAAGTAATGGAGTACTGGTTAATGGGTTCAACTTTCAACCATTACAAGTTTCAGTCTCACTTCATTCACCTCGGTTTGACTAATCGGATGGCATCACTAGCATTTATTGAAAACCGAGTACACTGGTCTATACTTCGTAGAAAAATATAATCAATCGTAAAAATCACAAACATCTTGTGTTAATTATTGTTAATTATTAGTGTTAATTATTCTTGATTTTAAATTTTCAGCTCCAGATATTATTCCTTATGTCGTTATGGTTGGAAAAGTCAATCATTCATCATAGTGTATTATTTTTTACATCAGTACAACGTGATCATCAGATTGTTGGTTAGTAATTGATCGTAAAATGCGTCAGAGTAATGATTTTTTACAGAAATCAAACAAACTGCCACGTGCAATGGCTGCTTTTTTTCCTTAACTCAAGTCCACACTATCATATATTATCGACAACTTCATTTCACAAAACAATCGATAATTTTTGTATGAAGTAACTCATAGTTTATCGAGTTAAAACCCGGCCTGCTGTCTAGATCTCTTCGTCTGATTATGCCAATAAACTAGGCGGAAAAATGTAAATCTCCACACGAAACCGAAGCTCCTGAATTCGGGTCACGCGTGCATGATCATGGATGAGCACTGTTGAGAAGTCCCATACTAGGACGAAACGGCTGTCCAGTGATCCTAGGTCTTCAATGGTGTTCTAGCTTAGGTGAGCTCATGAATTCAACTTACAATTATATGAAACTTAATGAATGTTAAAAATAAAGAACAATTCTTTCAAATGTCTACAAAGTTTGTTAATTAAATAAAACATATACTTCGACAACATATTCTACTTATTTACTTTCAATATCAGCTGTATAATAAAGGGTTAAGACCGACAAAACAATGCAAGTGATAATGTCAATTCATATCTCTTCATTCTACTAGAAGGTAAATAAGTCAGTAGACAAATCCATTACTATATCTAGTCTAAGCTGATAGTCACCATTTTACGTTTTGTGCTTATAATTTCTCAAAAAAAGTAAATTGTGAGAATCATTGTGATTTTATGTTTTGTAATTTAACATCGATATTATATAACGACATGAACAGTGTATAAGTTTATGAAACACAACTCCATAGTATCTCAGTTACACAGTTTGATTTTCGATTTATCAAAGATCTTACATATGAAGTAACATTTTTATTTATCGACTTTATTTAAAAAAAGAGTTCCAAAATGATAGCTCAGTTAAACAAATGTCAATGTGAATATGTTTTGAATGGAAAATTTGTGCCTGTTATAAGTACCTCTCTTACTCTTCAATCAATTTAGACTAATATATTAGAATTATAACATGCAAAGCAATACTATAATCAAAACCAGATAACATAATAAGCAGTAAATGCCTATCTCTACTCTGGAAAGTCTGTCATGCTAAAGTCCGAACACAACGTTAGTCAGGAATAAATTTTAAATTCTTAAATAAATGATTATTTTAAATACATAAGAAAATACACTTGGTGTTGTTTGCTTGTAACTTCCTATTGTTACTTAGGACTGCAATTTATCAGTTTCTTGTTGGCATATGTGCATCCTGTGCGGATTGCCTCGATAGTGTCTAAATTCACAATCTTTATAAGCAAAGACGGATAGTGGCTAGCAGTGGATGTGTTTGCATCTCAGAGATGATGTTCACTCAGAGACTCGAACCCAGTACCGCTCGCTTCAAACGTCATCACGTTATCCATTCAGCTACTGAGTCCTGATAGCCACCTGTTTGTGCAATTAGGACTAAATGTGCTTCCTGAATTCTACTGCTAGCCACTACTCATTTTTGCTCATAAAGCTTGTGACTTAAGGCAATATCGAAACAGTCCGCATAGGATGCACATATGCCAACAAGAGACTAGTCAATTGCAGTCCTAAACAACAATGGAAAGACACAAGCAAACAATACCAAGTGAATTAAACTTCACCCCATCCCACAAACAGGTGGCTATTAGAACTCAGTAGCTGAGTGGATAACATGATGACGTTTGAAGCGAACGGTACTGGGTTCGAGTCCCAGAGTGGACAGTGACTCTGGGATGCAGACAAATTCATCTGAAGAGTCCCAAATAGTACGAAACGTGTATCCTGGATTCCACTGCTAGCCACTATACATCTCTGTTAACATAAAAAATATAATTTAAACTGTATATTTGGTTAATTTAAAGTGGAGTTTTCAGCATAAAACTTTGCAAACATTGTGAGGCCTCATAACTTAAAATGGTGGTTGAAGGTAGTCAACAGAAAACTCTAGGCTTAGGTTTCGTGCTAGTTGGCACTCAATAGCAAGGTGTACCTGTAATCTTGAGGGGACCGATGCTCCTTGACCGATTTGATCCCATGTCAACAAGCTTCACAGTCAGAGACGTTACCACTGGGCTGCGACTGATCTCCTGTACGACTGAGTTGTATTTACAATTGATTGATCACTGGGTGGCGACCAATGTCATGTATGTCAGGTCCTTCTTAGTGAAGATCGAACCCTATCGACCAAGTTGCAATGATCACCACCCAGTGACTAATCGATTGTAAAGCTTCATAGTTTGCATTAAAACAAAACGGAGAATAATTTTCACATTCTAATTTGAAATTTAAATCTATACGTTTACCAATGTTCAGTTTTAGTTTTGCTTAAGTCAAATGCTTTTTTTCAACCATTTCATTCAACATGCGTGCATGTTTCTGAATGTGTTTATTTTAAACTTACATTCGTTTCATCAAATAAAATATAAATGAGGAAGTTCAGTAGATTTAACACAACAGAACTATTAGGAAATTAGCTCAGTATGTTGATATACACACATACGAACGCAAAAGTATGTATTACCTACATAACCCCATTGAAACTTCGATTGTTGAAATTTTCTTGTTGAAAGAAGAAACAATTCATAAAAACACTTTTACGAACCTGTCAGTTAGGCCAATAATAAAAAGCAAGACTTCCTGCAGAGTAGTTGTAATGTTTTTTTTCAAAATGCGGATTTGACATTGGTATAAATGCTTAACTTTAATCAGTTCACGATATTGCTGAACTATGTTAAAATGTCACCGTGTTTGACTTCACTGGTTACCGAATATCACTAAAACATCGGGAACCACCTCTCTAAAAGATTTCTCTGAACCTTTGTCTTATAGTTTAAATAGTTATATCTAGATTTATTTATGAAATGCTGTCAACTTCACCTATAGCCCTTCTACAGTTACTGACCGTCCGAAGCCCTACAAAGGAGGAGGTTCGGGAAATGGGTCGGCAACCCCATCCTGTAGAAAATAACCTTGCTAAAAATACGTTAAACAGAAAAAGTAATTCAAACTCTGCCCTAGGAGTTCAAAGAAGAATTATGACACCTCATGAAGAAAGCTGAGATTCTTCGAAATTCACGAGGTCGGTGCCCCTTCTAACAGCCACAGCAACAATTTATATAGGTACATGGGATGTACGGACAATGTGGTAGACCGGAAGGACCAACCAAATAGCTGTGGACATGAGGAGATACAAAATGGTGGTCCTCAGAATCAGTAAAACACATTGAACACAAGCAGGACAGAAGAGGGTCGATTCGGTAAGTATGCTTCTGTACACTGATCATGAGGAGAAAAATGCTCCACACACTCAGAAATTCTCTCTAGTGCTGTCCAAAGACTCAAGAAATCCACTTATAGGATGAGAATCTCATTTATCCAGGATCATCAAAGAATCCTTCAGGGGGAACAAGAAGGGAATCACGATCAATGTCATCCAGTGTTATACACCCATCAATGATAGCAGTGAAGAAGAAGAGACTGAATGGCTTGTGTTAGTCATGGCAATGTTCGTCTTACAGTTGATTCAACCTTCTTTTTGGTTCTTCAAAAGATGGAGCTCCAATTCACGTGTTGAGGTAACGAGTTGCATTTGCTGGTGACTCGATGGGAAAGGTGATAGTCAGCTGACAAGTAATTTGTTCTGAGTTTGTGAACATGTACAACTGTTCAGTATATATCACATCCAGGCAGTACAATAAGCTTAAATGAGTATAGTAGAATGAAAATAGGTGATGAAAAACATTTCAAGAAGCAGAGAGATTATCAAAGAACAAGGAATATGAAAGTTCACTTGTTCAGAATTGTAAAATAACGTTACATTTGAATCGTTGATCAAACTTTGGATGCTTTTCCGCATCTAATCTATCGCTGTTGATGTCGATAAAAGTTTGGCTTAAAAAATCACAAAAAATAGAGTTCTCAATATATTTTAGATTTTATATTGCTAGGACTTGGTGAAATACTAATGTATTTTCATGAGATGTCATTTTTTACTTTTATTCTTATCAGAAGGGGTTTTGTGGAGATTTAGTATGTTTCATAGTTGAACTCATGCTTTTAACTTTTATTCTTCTCCAGACAAACAGTGAAGATCTATATATGTTCAGAGTGGCTCGATAAAGTTCTTCAATCAGATGAGTGACAGTTGCATTATGCATTTACATCTTACGTTTTGTTATAATTCACCTGAAAATAAAAGCATTAATATTAATTATTATCGTCACTTGTAAGTCCTTGAATCTGCCCGTTACGGAAGCAATTGGCTATATGTACTCATTTTGTCAGTGGTTCACACATTGAGCGCTTGAAGCAAAAGGTATTGGATTCAAGTCTTGGTGTGAACATCAACATCGGTGTACAGTCACTTACAGCTGATGAGTCCCGAGTGAGAAGAAACGCACATCCTAGTTTTCGTTGCTACTCACTGATAAAACTTTTCTTAATAACTATATTTATTAAAAATTGTCTACATTGATTACCAGTGGTAAATACATAAAGAAAAACATACAATTCTAATCATAAAACAATAAAATTCAATTCCTCTTTCCCCATTTTATTTATGTAAATGTTTGTATGTTTCCTATTATAATGTGGACTTATAGATTGATTGATTCTAGTAAAATATTGAGCAATGGAAAATCAGTCAATCTATATTTTTGTAACCTGTTTGATTATGAAATAGTGTGTGTGTGTGTGTCTAATATGGGTCTCTTTCTGTATATATCCGTTTGTTAAATGAAATACACACGATTTTTGTGTTTTTTGTAGATAAGTATTTAGGTTAAATTGTAGTTATATGTTGACTTTCTTTTTATATATCACTACCAAATTAAGATGTTTTAACAGTTCATTGTGATGCATATCATTAACTGTTATTTGGGTTGAATGATAATTTACGTGGTGACAAGCATAGAATATTTTCTTGTTTCATCTCATCATGAAACTATATAATAATAGAGAGTTCTGTAAACAATTCCATACTGTACACCAGTTTACATGAACGATCAATTTAATAGAAGGTGAGTGTAACATTATCACTATTTGATTAGTGTACATCAATTATATATAATTTATAAGTACCATACAGAAGAAATAACTCCACCTGTAGCTATTATAGAGTTACTGCCGGTCCCAAGCCCGGGTTAAGGAGAAGGGTTGTGCATGGGGTTAGCGATTCCATCCCGTAGAAAACTAACTCGCTGAGAAAACGCTAACCAGAACTGGTGGGTGGTCTATGCTCCTCCACGAGGGGTAACAGGTTTAAGTAAGTAAGTAAGTAATTTTTGAAACTTATATGATTTATTCATTTGTATAAAACTAAAACTAACTAACTAAATTGACACTAATTCTCACATTCATCATATGTATAAATCAATTTATGTATTTTGTAGTATTCAGTTAAGTAGTGAAAATTCGGTAATTGTATCATTCATCATAAGTTTTCTTTTATTCACTATTCAACATTTAATATGGAATTGTTTATCGAAATTAAAACTTCAACAATGAGCGAGAAAAAATCCCATGTTGTAGCATCATTAATAAAAGACTAAAGGTTTCATTTCTTTTTGTACATACATGTTTACATGATAAACATTATTTTTAAATAATAAAACCAACCGTTTGGACGAAAGTAATGAATTCTCAAGGTTTACATAAGTATTATTCATATTTCATAATCTTGTACAGTATGAGATACTCCCATGCTTTTGTAGTCTAATATCTATACTTTCAGACTCTAAAGTGATGAA